TTGGCTGTGAATGGTGTTACTAGGTGTAAAACTGTAAATACCAATGATGGGGAAAAGACAGCCTATTTAGTTGTGACTTGTGCTCTTTTCTAAGCAACTATATATATTTCACCCTTCAGTGTTTTGATGGGGGTTAAAGCAACGGGCTCAGCCTCCGCTGCTACTACAATAAAACAGTATTTTGACAAACATGTCCATCCAAAATCCGTGAGGTAGTTCCATTTAACAGTTCCGAACACAGCTCTGTTTGCCAAAGGCTGTCTCAGTCCCACCATCGGTGCTGCATTTCAGGGCTTTTAGAGGAGGATGTATCCGCTGAACTTTTGGCAGCCCCAGACATACATCTTGTACTTTGCGCTATAAGCAGTGCAGATGGCAGCACTTATGTTTAACTTTACCCACTGCTTCCCATTGTAAAACTTTGGTTTCAGTTGTTCTAACATTTCCCAGAGTTTTCTGGTGTGGCTGCCCCCAGCTCAGGTTTTCTCTTCATCTGTTTCTATCAGTGCTGCAGGGAGGCCATGGGCCATCCCTGCATGTCAAAGGGAGGGCAGCATCCTCTTTGCCCTCATTCCCCTCTGAAGCCTCAGATGGTGCTCCATCAGATCTGATCTGGCAATTCCGTGCAATTACTGGTGTAAATCGGGCAGAGCTCCTACTGTGCAGCTTATGGAAGGGTGAGTGCAGTGGTAGAGTAGGGTGCAGCCTGAAAATCCACCTAGTCTTCCAGTATCCTCTTTGATTATGTAGTGTGTGTAAACATTTCCTACAGAAGGATTCTCAGGCTGACTCATACTGTTGCTGTATTTATGAACTTTCCAGTGCTGTGCTGTTAGACACAAATGTGATGATTTCCAGGAAAAAAAACCACTGGAATGGGGAAACTGGGGATATGAAAAATATTCAAGAGGACTACTATTACGAGCAGTTAATCAGGACAGGCTAATACTTCAAGGGAACTGAATTTCCTTTATTTTGTACATTTGCCATTGAGTTTCTACAACCAGGGAAGGAATGTGAGCTTCTGGAAGAGGGTAGCGAATGCTTGCTTTCACACTTGTTACGTTTGGTGGCTTTTTTTAAGAAGGAGCAAGAATGGATATCAGAAAGGATATTGAGGTGCTGGAGCGGGTCCAGAGAAGAGCAACAAAGCTGGTGAAGGAACTGGAGCATAAGTCCTATGGGGAGAGGCTGAGGGAGCTGGGGTTGTTTAGCCTGGAGAAGAGGAGGCTCAGAGGTGACCTCATCACCGTCTATAACTACCTGAAGGGAAGTTCTAGCCAGGTGGGGGTTGGTCTCTTCTCTCAGGCACTCAGCAATAGGAGCAGGGGGCACGGGCTTAAGCTCCGCCAGGGAAAATTTAAGTTGGATATCAGGAGAAAATTCTTTACAGAGAGAGTAATCAGGCATTGGAATGGGCTGCCCAGAGAGGTGGTGGATTCACCATCCCTGGAGATTTTTAAACGCAGATTGGACGTGGCACTGAGTGCCATGATCTAGGAAATGGACTGGATTTGGACCAAGGGTTGGACTCGATGATCTCGGAGGTCTTTTCCAACCCAATCGATTCTATGATTCCATGATTCTATGAAAATCTACCAAGAGAAACAATTTTGGAGAAGAGATCTGAATTAGGAGAAGAGGTATTGTAGGGCATTAAAAGGAGTACAGGAACTGCAAACTCTCACCTTCATCAGAAATGAGAAAGCAATTCTTCAAGATTTCTTTTTCCTTTTTAGACTTTTGTTTGAGAGGTTAGGTAAACACAGCTATTTCTAGATCTCCAGTAATGAATATTAGATGAAACTACATTTTCTAATAATTGTCCAAGACTTCATGACATAGCTTCTATCTTTATTTCAGTTCCTGTAAAGCCTACATTTTCTGTAACAATCACAAAACTACACTGAACATGTCTTTTCCATGTCTTTCTTTCTCTTTTTAGTTTATGGCAATTTTTTTTCAGAGTGTTTCTATTAAAAAAGAAATGGCTTTAGAAAATTACTGTAATCCAAATGGAGTTTTAACTATAGTACCAATAATATAACACTTTGACAGAAGAAAAGGAGCATGAAAAAATGCAAGAAAAAGTCTTTACTGAACTTTCTTCCAGGGGTACAATGGTAATAGATCCACGAGTTTCTGGAACCTGTTAACAAAATGAGTGGTTTTGAAGATTTGTCTTTAAAGTACAAGTATGAAATTGTGAGTTTCTTGTATCAAGACTGTGGAAAACAGGCTGTAATAATATCATGATGTTGCTTGAGAAGTGCCAATTTAACCAGACTAAACTTTCTGATAAAGACTTTGAATCCTAGCAGGAAAATTTCTTAGGTTGCCTGATATTGTATAAATTGGGGATATTGTAAAAATTTCTAATCCAGATAAAGTCTGTTGATTTGTAAATGAATTTCTATCTTAAAGCATGGAATGTATCCTAACATCCAAAAGTTCATTAGTGTTAAGGATACTTATACCTACTCCAGACATTACTGTCTAGAACAGCTTCAGTATATAGGATATGGATTAAACAATTGCATTATACTGATACTTTTAAAATACTTTTCATGCAGATGTAATTGTCTATTATATATTAACAATTCGTATTAGTGCATATTAGTTTGTCACATTCATCAGCAATATCACCATCACTCGTGAGTCTCTGTGTGTTTGTGTCTATTTGTATGGGAGGGAAAAACTGACAATCGAGTCAGGGCTCTTTGATATGGTCTCATGATTAGTCTAATACCTAAAAACAAACAAACAAAAAAGATATAGTTGTCTATCTTTATATAATGCTACTATACAGGATCACATTCTTAAAACACCATGTAATTCCCTTTTGGTTTTTCCTCTCTAGATATTAGTAGCCTTGTTCATCTTGTCCTTTTACTCATTTGTAATCATCTTCACACCAGTAAGTTCATTCCCACAGTGAGGCCTCACAACCACATCTGCTTGCTCCACACCCTACTGCCCAGTAATAGCTTTCAGGGAAAAATCTCACACAAAGTGAGCTCTCCTTCCTCACATTTAGAGCTACATTGCACTGGATAAAACCATGGCCAACAGGTATTAGCATTCTTCATACTGCTTCACTTTGAAGTGCTGAAAGAAATGCCTCTAGATTTTATTTAACCTTTATTTGACTGCCTAATATGATTATGACACAGCTCTCTACATATTATGACCAGTAATTATTATTTGCCCACAGCTCATTTCTGTGAAGGCCCAGTTTTCTGTATAAAAGAAATAAAGAACAAAAGTAGTTTTAGTTTTAAATGTCCGTTTGCCAAAGGAAATTGAGAATCTTCTCTACCTGACTAGGCCAATTATCAGATCCTCTGCCTGCCACTCACCTGGAGTCCCCAAAGCACCTCACATCATTATGAACTCCATGACTTCAAACCAGATGGCAAAGACTCTGTATATATTTTTATTATATATATAAATAAGGGTGAGTCTGAGGTCTGAAGAACAGGGATACATTCAAGTAGGCAAATTGTTCAGTGAGCAGGCAAATACATGCATTTGATTTCTTTAGGTTCTATTTTATTTTAGTTTTCTACAGACACATCCTGTGGCCTTCTTTCCAACAGGGAGCAGTAATTTCAGCCTTGCTGTTAAAACAGGCACTTTGTTTTCCTAAAATTTAAGGAAAATCTTTCAGGGGTCATTACTTTTACCAAATTTGGTTGGAATTGTGACTATCATGTCGAAAAATGCTCATAGTGGGCTGAAGGACTGATGCAGAAACATACAGACATCATGATGATCTAAGCCTTATTTCCTAGGAAGCTGAGCTAAAGCTTACAATGAACTAATAAATTATTACTCATTCCAAATCACATTTCTCATATGATCTATTCTTTTATGAGCAGAAAGGGATATTAGGCCCATAAATCCTTTATTCATTGACAAGATAACAGACCTGTTAACATAAAAATGTTTTTATTTTACATATGAAAGGTCTTTTAACCAGTTTAATAAGAAAGCATTTATCTTCTCTTTTTTTCTATTGTTTTAGTGATTCAAAGGCAGAAAAATCTTGAATTAATTAGAGAATGAGTTAGTTACTAAATTAATTATCCTGCATATTACTTTACTTTGAAATATAAATGCTGGTGCAAAACGGATGAGAATGAAATTCTACATATAAAATGTTAATATGGAGGGAATGGTTTAATCAAAGCAGAAGAATGATTGTTTGGTAGCAGTAGAGGTGAAGGAGAGAAAAGGCCTTCCAGGCCCCCAATTTAAATCCTCTTTAAATGAAACTGGGTCCACCCTTGACAAAGCAAACTTATGCTACGTACTGGCACGTTTGGCACATTGTATTTAATCACAACAGTATAGCATCACTCTGCATTCTTATTTCCAAACATGATTTGGTGGCTAGAATCCAAAATTGCTTGCTTGCTTGCTTGCTTGCTTACTGTCTTTGTGTATCATCTTTATTATGCAGACACTCTCAACACATTTGCAATGAGTTCCCATATCCTTCCTATTTTTAAGCAGCTCAGGTGCTTTTGAAGTAGTATGGAAGCTGACCACTTTTCTTGTCATATTTCTTGTCCATTCCTCTTCTCACGGCGTAATTTCTGTTGAGCAGCTCCCGATCTTGGCAGTGATATATGGCCTTGAAAAATTTATTTGTTCTAAAATGTTGAACAGTGATTGCAGTCAGTTGAGACACATTGATGGCATCGGCAGCTTAGACACTGCAGAGCCCATCACTGAGAGGAAGAAACTGCAACATGTTTTAGGAATAGCAAATGCAGCTTTGAAGATCAGTTAACTTTCTTCACCAAGACAGATTGTTTGAGTGGAAAAAACTCTTTTTACATATTTTGTGCTTCTATTGTATCATTTTATAATGTCCTATCACAGCACATTAAACTGCGCAGTTTACCTAACATGGCGGTCTGCTCATGATTTAATGGATTTTCTTTTTTTTCTCTCCATTTTTTACCTACTCTATTAAAATAAAACCTTTCCAGTGAGAATATCCACCACATCCTGCTTGTATGAACTATCAGGAAGATGATTTTGTCAGCGCTTCACAGAGTAGTGTATAAAGCCCTCTCTACTGAGTAAGGTAAGGTGATTTTACATGACACAACCTTCTTAGACCAAAACCAGGGTTTCTGACAGAGTAATGTAATATATGACTGCATTGGAAAACATTATTTTCTACCCAAACAAGGTGGAATATATGAAGGATAAACATTTCAGAACTAATGGGATCAAATCCTCACTATTCCTATTTACTCTGATTTAAATATAATTCTGAGCTTGCTTTTCCTTCTAGAAACCTGAAAATTCTCATGTACATCCCTGAGGGCAAATTGGCCAGGCATTGAAGCATTCAGTGAAAATGGGAATTTGTAATTCTCTTATTTTGAAAATAGAAGATGTAGTCATTCTCTAGTGTTTGAATGCCATAGTCAACATGATATTGATTAATTTCTCTGTAGGATGCTTGAGGCACCCTAGTGATAGGAATAAAGCTGTGTAACTGTATCCATATAATACTTAATTATGGTAAAATGCCATCACATAGGCAATGTCTATATTACTGGGTTTGAGATGCAGACAGATTCCTGAGTTCAGGTACAAAACTTAGCCACATACCAGCTCTGTCTCACAGCAAAACTCAAGTGCTCACCACCAGGATGTGCAAGAGGAATCACAGAAGATGTAAATAGGTTGCATGTAACTGATGGCAGTCCCGTGGCATATCACAGTGTGCATCAGAAGGTGACTCAAGACACTAACTCAGGGCTCCTTGGAAAGGTAGCTCATCCCTACTGTCACAGGACAAATCGCACCCTGGAGTGTCCCTTAGGCAAAAACAGTTTTAAATGCTCATTTGTGAAATACAGCCAGTCAGAAAAGGATGAGAACAGAGCAGGAAATTTGTATCATGAATCTTCAAGAAACCAGAAAAGTACTATTGCTCTATGCAATTATAAATATAATAGTTCCTTTTTGGAAAGAAAGAAAAAAAATCATATTTTAATATTACCTTATTGCTATATTATGTTATATTCAGACCATCTACAACTTCAAGGAAATTACTATGTACAAGACAGTGATAAACGACTCAAATAATCCGTTTCCCCTTGTGAGTAGAAATAGTCACCATAACCATTTCTCTCTCTTTATTGTACTAGCAGCCCTGGACAAGCAATGGTTCTTTTTGCCTGTGTAAATATAGCACAGCAGCCCTGATCACTAGTGGAACACAGATGTGTCCCTAAGTCACAAACCCAAAGTGCAAAAGCACTCCCTGCCCCCCACGTCTCCCTTTGCACAGGAAAGACAGCACTATCTTTTTTGAGCTCTTTTCAGGTCCACTGTTCATGCATCATCTTTCTGTTTATCCCAAACAAAAAATACCTTAATTTAAAAGGAGTTTCTTTTTTTTTTTTACTGATTCTCTGCTGATGTGCTAAAATGTTAAGCCAAGCAGCAGATCCTTACCACCTCAACAACTGCAGCACCAGTTCTGACATGCAACAAACAGGTCCTTCTGTTAGACCAGGGCACTTTTGTAACAGGAAGACATCCAGGTTGAAAACAGCATATTCTTCACTCAGCAGTCACCAGGCTGACTGGGACATGTGGGGCAATGGTTGCATGTGAATAGCAAGAAAAGAGAGAGTTTGAGACGTGTTTCCCAAACCAACTCCACCCGTGTCACTGATCTTGCTGCTCATTGTCAAGTGCATCCCTTTCCACCAGAGAAGAGGTTGAAAAGTACCTCTGAACATCATCCAATTCATCCCTTCTCAATGCTAGGGTAACTTCAGAGTTAGACCAGGGATAACAAGGCTGCTCTGAGCTACTTAGTCATGGACAGACTGAGAGTACACACTCTTCTGCTTCTCAAGAAGTTATTTGTATCTCAAGAAGTTATTTATATCACTACATGGAAGGGGATCATCTTCCAAGCAAAGATTCCACTCAGCTAGCCAACTGGGACAGTGTATTTTCTGATCATGAAATCAGTGTAAGTTAAAGCAACTCTAAAAACTTTTCTCCAAGTCCCAAACTATTCTGTTTCCTCCAAGCAAGTATCACCTCCTGCATGCAAGCATGAGCTGCACTTCTATCTTTAGCTCTTACCCTGTCTTGCTCCGCTTGTTTCTTCCTCTTCTTCAACACTTTTCAGATTCTCAAAGGGTGGGAACCCCTCTCCCATAATGAGACCAATCTAGTGGAAGTACTGGTCTTCAGGACTGGCCATGTGACTGAGAGTAACTTGAAGTGGTTTCATTTATAGGTGATTTTTGTCATTTTGGTGACTCCCTACCAGCGTCTTCTTCCCTCTAGAAACCAAAAAAAATTTCTGTAAGATATTGTCTGTATACAGGGCTGTATGTGACTGCTTCATGACCATCTTCATGCTTTAGTTCTGTTTGCCACCTTCTGTTCCTCAGAACTCACATCTTTTTCCACAGATCTTGGGAGCACGTGGCAAATATGACTTTATGAAGACCCTCGGAGTGCAGAAGACCCAGAACTGCTTGCGGTATCAGAGCTTCTGTTCATGATGCACAGCTATAGCAAAAAAATTACAGACTCATCTCTGTTTAAGAGGAAGTACCAGATAAATCTATGCATGTTTTGACATCAAGGGGATTAAAATGGTGCTTATGCATGCTCTCCTAATTACTGCTTTACTTCTCTGAAAAGTCACAACAAAATAATTTATGCTCTCAAAAAGGTACAAAAGAGATAAAATGCCTTTAAAGTAGAGGTAATAGTTACAGTGATGGCAAAAGTATTCTAGCCCTTAGCAAATGTGTTTATTGATGTTTTTAAGAGAAAAGGATTTTTTTCACCTGGTGTTTGTTTTCCATGTTGTACATTTGACCATGTGTATAGAGTTTGGCTGTACATTAATAAAAGACATGTAATCAAATCACGGTCTGCCAGAGACAAACCTTTGCTTTCAAAAGTTAGTATAAAAAATAGTTTGATTCAGAAACCAAATGCAGTCATCTTCCATTTTTCTCGGGCAAAATATCAAGGGAAAAGTATAAAAAGTGTAGAGAACTACTAATGTTTAATGAAATACTTGAGAAACATATGAAAACCAGAATACATAATGTGTCCTGAGGTAGTAGACCTCAGATCTATGAGTAATATTTTTATCTTTGATGTGTCCAAATATATGTAACATTTCTCATTATTTGCTACACAAAACTTGTGGTAAGCTACTCAGACTTAGAAATATCATAACTAGTATTTTTATGAATTATATATCAGCACATTTATGTGGAAAGATGTGAACATTTTATAAGCACAAGTTATCTTCATTTTACCATGGACAGGAAACTGTCCACCACTCTAGCTTTCACCTGGAGAATTTTTTCCACATGTTTCTTTACAGCAGACATCTTTATTCTGGAACAAATCTTATATCCTTCTAATATTATTAACAAAGAATTTTACCTAAATGTGGTTTAGAAATGCTGCAATGGAGGTTCCAGTGATTCTACCATCACTGCTAAAAACAGTATCACCTTTCAGTCTATTTTCCCTAACCAGAGCTTTACCTGAAGGTTGATGTCTTAATCTCTTTTTTCTAAAGCTAAGAATAAATTACTCAGCATATGCATTGCCTTTTATGCATTGCACAGTGAATGTGCACCAGTTATGGTAGATCCATGTGTAATCTACATCTCCTATTAGTTAAAATAAGCAGCATCCTTCTTGCCATTTTAAAAGACCACAGCAATTCCCCTTGGCCCTTTGGCAGAGTAGTTGTAGTTCTTTGCTTTCAGGTAAGAGCAAACAGCTGATGAGATGACTAACTCAAAGATGGGCAGGATAGGAGACCTCCACACTTTCTACTGACTAATGCCAGGTGGTCTCACTGTTTGTGCACTGGATGTTTGAACTCTGTTTTCAAGCATCTTATTCTTTCTGGTGTTGGTCAGGAGAAGAAAGAAACTGAATTTCATTCCTTTAAGTGCTCTAATAAGCAGCTAAAACTTAAACATTGCAGTCCTTAGATTTTTATGTATCTAAATCCTTAATAATAGTAGTAACAACAAATAGTAACTGTATATGGAAAATGCGGGAAGAGCTCTCTTCCATAATTTGGAATGCAAGCAAGGCATGTGATATGGTTCCATCGTTTAGAGGTAAACACTGTGCCAACTGAAGTACATTTTACTAAATAACCATTCCTCTGTCACATTCCTGGCCACAGACAAGCAACATTGCTTGTGTACAGAACAGCCAACACACCCAGCTCCATGCTCAGCTATGGGTGAAGAGAGCCAAGAGGACTTGCAGGTTGGTAGGTTATGTGGGAGTCAGCACAGCTGCAAATTTGTTCATAATTTCTGCCTGAATTCATTATTCTGGATGTCCTGGGAAAATCAACTCTCTGGGAAACTGTTCAGGGTACACTTTCATAATGAATACAAACTGCCAGAACTATTTGCATACACATAGTACAGTGCATCTGTGAAGGCACTGACACTGAGGGCACTGACACTGAGGGCAATAAGAGCGCGGGCCTTAATGCACAGTCTAAGTCCTCATGCATCTCTTGATTTGTTAAAATGACAACTTTGTCTTAATGAAGAATGGTATGAACCTAGGTGAGACCCACCTCTTGTTGCTGCAAGTGCACAGAAAGGGGAGGAATTCAGCAGAATTCAGGAATTCAGCCCTTTTTTTCAGTAGGTTTGGTTGGTGTGCAGAATCAGGCCTTAAATTTGGGAATGACACAGCCCTCTGCTGCATGACTCCTTGAAGAGATGAAAGCTTTCATTTCTAGTCAAATGATGACCAAGCGATGTTTTCTCACAGATATACCTAAAAGACTCAATTTTGTCACCTTCCTAATTTGACTACTTCTTATTTTATACCTCAAACTTACAAAGAAATAATTTCTTAAGACTGTCTGAGTTATTAATTGGGCAGCAATCAGGAAGTGCCTCAGGCCAGTCCAGTAATCTCATTTCAGATTAATGCAATCCCAGATTAACATCTCATTTACCATTGTTCATTGGTGTCCATTAACCAGAGGGAGACTCTCAGGGCAAAGTCATAGAAGTGGGTGAGATGCGAATGAGTGAAAAGAGACGGTGAGGACGAGGGCTCCTACAGAACTCTGACTTTCAGGGCACCACAGGGCACAGCAGGCAGGGCCCAAACACTCAACAGGGAGTCCCCTTTCCTTAGCTCAACCCAAGGCTTTGTGATGCTCATGTTCTGTCCTCTGGCCCCTGGCAAAGCACTCTTGAGTCTTTCATCATGCACATCAAAAGGAATAGTAGAAGAAATAGATGCAAATTATCTAAACATGAATCCCACCCTATCAGAGACTTTGCATCAAGCGGTGGGAGCTGCAGGGTGAGAGAAAGCTTCTTTGATTTCCTTGGGCATGGAGGTGGCCCCCCAAGACTTGCTGTGAGAAGTTGCCCCTCCCTCTATCTGCCAACACTGGTGAGTCCTCGCCCCTTGTTAAAGCCTTTGCATCAGACATGACAAGGTTTTAAAATCACTCAGAAGTCAGAGTGGAGTGAGTGGGAAAGAGTGACGGTGACAAACAGGTAAAATGCAATCTGATGAAAAAGACTCAGGTTTCCATAGCATCCATCAGCACCTTCCTCCTCAGAACACACGTTTGAATTCCAGCACGAATAGCCCTTTTTTGGTTAGGCAGCTGCTTTTGTAAAACTTCTGTGTAATAAACAATCCCTATAAATTAATTTGACACTTTTTGTTATCTTTCCAGATGGAGGATTTGGCAGGAAGCGACATACTTAAAAATTAACTTGTCACAAACGTAAGTTTAGAACTTGGGATTTTTTTAAAAAATGGCTATAAGATTCAAAACTGGAAGAGAAGACAGCCAAGCCCCCCCAAAATATTTTACTTCAAGTGATTATCAAAACAGCACAACTGTCCTTGGTATTTTCTCCCTTTCACTGTCTTTTTTTTTTCTGCTTTATTTGAGTATCTAAACTCCTTACATCTCCCACTGAGATGTAAGGGTTGGACTTGATGATCTCAGAGGTCTTTTCCAACATAGTTGATTCTATGATTCTCTGATTCTATGATTTTGTCCTCAAGTTATTTCTTTTTCTTTACTTCACTTTTACCTCACCATACATCCAAGACTAAATTTGTGGATGCTTGTTCCAAAAATGCCAATATGCTTTTAGAAGTTGTTGCACAGGGTTTCAAATACAGATTAAGGATTTAGAATGAAGTCCCCTAAAAATTGTGAAGCAAACACAAAGTAGAAAATTCACAAGAAAAATTTTTGAGAACTTCAGACTTCTGGAGATGTTATAATTTGCGTTGAAGATAAGTGAGGAAGGAGAGAGATATACTGAGATGCAACAAGTGCAAATAATGAAGAAGATAGTGTTATTATGGGTTTGTAAAAGCTGTTTAACATAACTAATAAAAAACTGGTACTTATAGTAATATTAGAATCCATTTAAATTTTGCCAAAACTCTGCCCTTTTATCCTGCTGATTTCTGAATCTATTTTTCGAATGTACTGTGTTAGCGAGAAAAATATTAATATTCAAAGAAGGTATAGTCATATAAATTATCTAGTTTCTAAAACAGCATAGAAAAGAGGATGATTCATCAGTGTTTGATCTCAAGAAAGTGTTTCAATTAAGCACAAATCATAGCAGCCATGAACAGCTAATCCTTTTCTGCCATTGCCAGGAACACTGGGAAACTGTGGGGAATTGGTAGAAGGAGCCAATGCAAAATAAGCCTCATCCTCCCTGCAGAAGAATACCTGGAAGTAGGGGTGGGAGGGAAGGTTACCCAGGCTCATGCCCAAACACTGAGAGCTGCTATTACATGGGTGCAAATAGAGTGAGTGGAACAGTCATGTGTCCATTGCTTTTCCAGGTAACCAAGTAGTGCTGTTGTGTATTCCCGTGGTATGAGACCATGACTGTTCCTCCTCCTGGGCTATCACTACAGCCTGACCATTCTCCTCTACCACCACTGTCTGCAATAGGAGCCAACCAGAGGTCAGTGCAATGAGGACAGGTTGTGGTGACAGGATCAGATAGAAGATCCTTGGGTGTTGAAAACAGGGCAAGGACCTGGCTTTGATGATCCATCTGCAAAATTTAATAAGACCAAGGTCAGTCTTTGAGGAATCTCTGAGAAAAGATTGTCCTTCCTACATAAAAGCTTTACAGAAGGTGCTCTAAGGGTAGATTAAAAGCCAGGATTTTGCTTTCACCTCTTGATGAAGTAAGTTTACTTTACCCTTTACCCTCACAGATCACTGCGAGGTAGTTTGCAAATAAGCTTGGACAACTGAAGCAAAAAGCCTTAGAGAGTGAGCTCCAGACTCAGAAGGTTTGGTTTGAATCAAATCAACCGTTTTATAAATATATTTGTAATCTAATAAGTATTAAGGAGACAAAACAGGATCTTTATTTGCATCAGAACAATGCGATGTCAGCAATTTTCTTCCAAGAGTGACGAACTTAATCTCAAGCATCTGCTCCTTTACTTCTCTGAGTCCTTTTCTCTGTGAGGAGAGTTCATATTTCAGATTTTTCCTGGTCAAGCTCAGACCAGTGATGCCCACAATCTGCCTCAGTTTTTGGAAATATTTTGTGCCACATTTTGTGGTTGTCCCCGGCCATTTTGTTAGTGTTGGCAAATGTGAAAAAAAAAAAACCCACCTCGTTTCATGGTTAAAAGCAACAGAGGAATACCATCCTGTATCTGCTATTGAAGTGTGCTGTTAGTATGTCATTCTCTGTGAGGTTTTTTTACCAAAATTAGCAAACATTGCATATTCCATGTTTCTTGTGAAAACTGTTTGGAGATTTATGGTAAGGCATTTCCAAGTAGCTGCAAGTCCAGTTCTTCTCACATCTGTTTTCAAATAACACAGATCTAGAAATGCCACAGAGGCCCTTCTCCTCACCTGCTCCTCCACACTTTCTGCAGATGTACAGATGTCTTTGCACAGCTTTGTTTCTCTCTCTCAGAGATCTCCAAACAGCTGAGAATCAATACTTTTTCTCCTCTAAGGACATGCTCTCTTGAGTAGCTCAAGAAGCTCGACAGGACTGCAATTATTTCCCTTTCACATGATTGCCTCTAGAGATACTAGGTTGGGGGGATTGCCTCCTCTGCAATATTTATATTGTATGTTTACATTCAGCATCTTAACACCCTGATATTTATTTTTATTTCGGTTGGTCTCACGTTCCACCCTTATGCCTAATTTAGTGTGGACAAAAGTGGGCCTCAGATTGGAGTTAAAGAAGTTTATTCTGGGTAAGTTGCAAGTGAAAATAATGGTTTATTGGATGGAGAGCAGCGACGAGAGTGTAAAAGATGACAGAGATCAGAAGAGTGGGGAAACCCACTAACTTTTCAAAGTGAGAATCAAAGACCATCATTGCATTTCCAGCCCTTACCAGATGAATCAGTAAGCACGAGATCAGCCTTGCTTCTGCCTGCACCTGCTCAGGAAAGGGCATTCCTATGGCATACTGTTCTCACTGCTCCCCTCCTTGCCTGTCTGTGAGCACAACATAATTGAACCTATAATATCTTATTGCACAGGCAGAAGAATAATCACTCATTCTTTATAGATGGAGAGGGGGGAAGAGAGAGAGAGATGTATAATCATCACATATGCTTCATATGCATTTATATGTACAAGCATATGCTCTGAAAATGTAAACCTTCATTAAAGGAAAAATTGAAGATTACAAACTTGTCATGCAAAAATTAAAATACAGGTGAAAGACTAATTCAATAACCTGTCTGAACTTAGAAAATCAAGATGCTACTGTGAGTTCTGCTAATTTTTCCAATGCCACTCGTATGCTTTGCCAATAAATGATCTTACAGTGCCAAAATAAATCGCTGTGTTACAAAGAGCCCTCATCTGTGATCAAAATCATTCTATTTACCCTGGAGACACATATCTATGAAAAATTTAGGAGGTCATCAATCACGGTCTCTCTTTCCAATGTTTATAAAGTTGTATCTTTGGATAAGAACATTTCCAGTCTTCTTGCCATGATTGAAAACAGAGCTGAGGTCTGGTATATTTACAGGCAGGATCACTGTACTTAGGTAGACTGCATCTCATCCCTAATTTTTTGAAGTTATATAAAATAACTGTTCTCGGGCTGTCTGTTATTTGTAGCTCCTTGGTAAAGTGACGAAGAGATCTCAAAATACATGAGAATTAGGGTCTAGGTTTAAATACATAGCATGTAATTGTATAGCATAAGGCCGCTGAAGAACAATACCAGATGCATTCTTTTCATGTCAAGTGCTCTGAAATTGTGCATACTCAGAATATTCAGACCTGCATTCTGCACAAAACCTTACATAGTCATATGTAATTTGCTATTTTCCCATTGTACATTTGCTGTTGATAACAGTGTAGCAGCCAATGCGACTTACCACTAAACTACCGGACATTTTACTGGAAACCAAAACATCATCATAAAATTCAAATAAACATTTCACAAGAATCATCACACAGGAGGTATCACATTAAGCCTACTGTAAAAACAATTCTCTGAGGTGTGTTTCGCAGGCAATTGCTTCCCGAATAGTTTTCCATTAGTGTTGAGATTCAAGCTACAAAAAGTGCCTTTTGTTCAGCTCCTAACCTTGATTAGGGAAATATCTGTATAAGAACTCAAAAAGTGTCTTTCTTTGTCACCCTCACAGGAAATGTCAATCCCTATTTGGTTTACTTTGAGTCTAATGATCTCTTGATTCGTAAACAAAACTCTTCACCCTGTTGTTAGAAATCACATGGTCTAACTGTAACAGGAGGGTGGGATCTGTGCCCTGAGCATGGATAGAGCAAGTATATTCACCACAGACACCTTGTATCTACATGCAAGCTCACATATTTATTCACAAGGTTACTCATAGATAGATATATGCTAATATAACAAGTCTGAGAAAGAGGCAGTTTTGGTAAACCCGTGGTTTGTTTTTTGTGTACAAAGGACATTTTACCATGCTCTAGTGTATCCCTAGGGCAGTGACGGGGGAGCATAAAAGTAGTAGCTTCAGCTGCTTCCAGGTCAAGGTGTAGCTCTTGCTTTCTTATTTGAGTCTTTTATCTCCTTTCCACATGAAAAAAAATGAACTCAGAAAATCTTCCTAGGAATCAGCTTTGCTCATTAGCCATAAAATCTGCTCATTTCCTGAAAAGTTCATAGTGCAATATCTGGGTATTGCAGGTCTAAGAATGATTAAACAGCCAATTTATTTTAGAAATTGAGAAAGAGAAAAGTGAGCTTGACCTATTAGTCAGTTTTTCTCTTCCACAAAACTATTAGATAAGTCTAATAAGTCTAGATAAACTACTTGAATTCATTAAAGTTTCTGAAGAATAGAACAAACCCCTTTTTAATTTTTCTTCTCTTGCTCTCTCAAAAAAAGAAAATCCCTGTAATTTCATAGGTCAAGTTATGATTATATCCATTTTGGTGAAATGTTGAATTAGAGAACAGAGACTTTTAGTTAAAACTTTCTGTGGACTCCTGGATGATAGAAATTGATTTCACAGGAAGTTGGGAGTTCTCAGGATTTCTGTGAGACATGAGCTTCATCAACATCTGTAGGATTGGCAAGCCTAGTTTGATATATACGACCTTTGCTCTATTGTCACTATAGTTAACAGAAACAACATAGTGAAAAAACCCACAAGAAAACAACTTTCCTTCAAGAGTTTTCAAAGTTCACACATCAAAGGGAATTATCAAAGCTGCAGCATGAAAATCTGACGGTTTGGGTTCCCAGAGTTGCTAAACATTGCCATTCCTGCCAACTTTCGACAGGCAGAATGAGAAGCATTCTCATCACTCACGCTTGTGGTCTCAGCTGAGGTGCCCACATCAGGTACTGCACAAAGTCCCTTACTGGGCTTTTCCAAACCACCGTTTTTCTCATCCACCCTGTCAAAGCAGCCCCTGTTGACTAGAGCAACCCTCAGCTCACTGGGTCACAATCTTTCTTATTTATGTGCAGTCCTATAGACAAAGAGTAGACACCTCCAGAATCTGGAAGAGTCTCATTCCTGGCCGTGCTCTTGGGAATACTTTGTGTTCTGAGCAGCATTTCTGGTTAACAGAGAGGTCTGGTATTAATCATGCCTTTATTTAGAGAACGAAGGCCCAAGTCCTCCTTGGATCCACAAGAGAGGAGATTTACCACTGTCACCTCAATGGTAGCATCCTGGAGCAAGCAGAGGTGTGGTACGGAGGAGCTTACTACAGCTCCTGAGTACTCCCTTCTTTATCAAAAGAAACACTGTTAACTCTGCCCAGACTGCATGATTTAGGCTGTGGTACCGTGCACCATGATAACATGGGGGCTGAGGGACCACCAAGGTTAGCTGAGAAGCCTCATGCACAGCTGACCTTGGAGAAATAAGATGGAACAATCATGAAAGGGAAGATAACCTAAGTAATTATATGAGCCAAATGCCAGCAGCAGTGTAAACCTGTCGTAGGGGAAGGATGCAGGCAGGGATGTGCTGCTAGAGAGACTGGCTCATTTCCAGTAAAGGCATTCGCCTGTCACAGCAGCCAGCCCAGCGGTACCAGCCTGCTGCCTTGTGCCGGCAGCCCGTCTGCAAGCACGCACACGCCAGACCTGGGGTGCAGTCACTCAGCCAGGCGCTTCTCAGTTTCGTGCATTCCTCAATTCTGGTCCCAGCGGGCCGGGGCCGCCCGAGCAGTGGCACAGGGAGGGCAGACCTGGGGAGAAGGAACTTGCCCGGGCACGGGAGCCAGCTCGCTCCCCTCATTCCACTCACCCCGGGCTCCTGCCCCTCTCTCCCTCCCGGCGGTGCCGCTCGCAGCGAGAGCAGCTCTCCCTGCCCTGGGGGACCGGGGCGGGGGGGCAGAAGTGAAAAGCGGCATTCGCAGCCTTAGGTCCGCGCCCGCATCTCGCATCCACATCCAGAGCCTCATCCCGCGTCCGCACCCGCATCCGCAGCTGCCGCCGGGACGCGCCCTCGCCCCGGCGGTGCGGGGCGGCCCCGGGGGCGCGGAGCTGCAGCGGGAGGGAGTGTGGTGGGGGAATGTCGGGGAGAAGCCGCCCGGCCGCCGCGCACCCCGCAGGAGCGGGAGAGGGGGGCGGGAGCTGTTCGCCCCGGGGGGGCGGGGGGGGGGCTGTCACGGGGCTGGGACCACAAAACCGGGGGTAATTACATTTAGGCAAATGAGGTTGCCTCGGCCCTCCCCGTCTCCAGGTATATAAAGTGGGGAGCGCTCGTCTGGCCGGCCAATGCGCTCGGAGAGCATTTCCCACCCTCCGCGCTGCTGACGGTGCGTGCGCCTCCGGGAGTCCGTCCGTGTCTGTGAGGGTGCGCTTGTCCGTATGGTTGTGAGGAGTGTGCGTGGGTGCGGGGGGTCTGTATGTGTGTACTTCTATGGGGTGGGTGCCTATACCTGCTTGTGTGCCTCTGAATGTGCCGGCATGTTTTTGTGCCTGTCCTGATGTGTGAAGGAATGAGGGTGTACCTCTGGACACCTGCGTGTGTGTAGAGAGCTGCATCCCTACGTAGGTGTGAGCATCTAAGGTGTGTAGCTATTTGTGTGAGTTTGTAAGTGGATGCATGTGTATCTGGGTGTGTGTATGAGGGGGATGTACCTGGCTGGGTGTATTTATGTGAGAAGGTGTGAATACCTGATGTACTTCGACGTGTGAAGGTGTGTTTATGTATAACCCTCTATGTCCGTGTGTGGAGGGGTACCTCTGCCTGTGTGTGTGTGACTGTGCACTGGTGTGCACACGAGCTGAGTGCCAGTCTATTATGTGTGGGGTGCGGGTGTCCAGAGGTGACTGTAGCAGTCGGGGGGAAGGGAGGGTGGTGTGACTCGGCGCCTGTGGAGTCTATACGTGCGAGGTAGCGCGTCCCCAGGTGTGCCCCGGAGGCAGCTGTGAGTGTGTGTGCAGGGCTGTGCGTGCTCGCTCCGCCGGGGCTCGGGGTGCCGGTGCTCCAACCTCTGCCCCCGCAGGACGTCGAGGCGGCGATGAGGCTCCCGCTGGCTTTCGCCGTGCTCCTCCTGGCCTCGGCGCAGGCGCTGGCCGAGGAGATGGGAGCCACCGACGACCTCAGCTACTGGTCCGACTGGTCCGACAGTGATCAGGCGAAGGTGAGCCCCGGCGGCCCCGCGGGGTGCGGAAGCGAGGGGCTCGGTGCCGGGCACTGCCTGGGCAAAACGGGGTGGAGGGTCTGCGCTGAGCGCCGCCCGCTGTCGCCCCGCAGGAGGAGCTGCCGCTGCCCCTGGAGCACTTCCTGCAGAGGATGGCCCGGAGACCCCGGCCCCAGCAGTTCTTCGGCCTCATGGGCAAGCGGGATGCCGGTGAGCGGGGTGGGGGGCCGGCTGCTGCTCACGCCTCTCCACTCGCCCCTTCTCCTAGTGCCTCCCCAAACTCCACAGCGGTTGTCGCTCGGGTTTAGTGTGTTACGTCTTTTTCAAAAGCTGCCATGTGGGGTGTTTGGGGTTTTTTGTTTGATAGTTTATTTCAAGTTTTGTATCAGATAAACTCACCAGTTGGAAAAGAGAGGGCTTCACATTAAAGTGCCAAATGCGCACCAATTACAGCACGCAAATCCCGGTGAGGAATATCATGACGATTCATGGGATAATTCATACATGCTACTGAATTGCCCATGTAGGGAAATCTGTTCTGTGTACAATTATTGCCATGTTTACTGATCCAAGAATTGATCTAAGAAACTGGAGCTAAACTGATCTAAATTATGTGGGCTTAGCTAAAACCAGTTTTTGCAGTCTCTTCGAAGAGAAATGCAGTTGTAAACCATCACTTTAATTTCCCTTAAGTGGAATATGCGTAGGGTAGTTTTTGTATTTGATTTTTCAAAACATTGCAGTAGTATCATATGTGTATGCCAATCCTTTTACGACAACTCTTTTTTCCGCTTTTTCTCTTCCTTTTCTCTTCCAATCAGGATACGGCCAGATCTCTCACAAAAGTAAGTTTAAAAAAAAATGCAAATAAGTAATTATTAGAAGATATTAAATAGGGAATAGTGTGTTTGACGGGATTAGTTAGAAGATGACTGGTTTCAGCCAAGGAATGGCAGCACTTCTGGTGAAGAAATGTTCTGTTAAAGGATTGAAACCTCCACCCCAGTGCCGCTGTGAGCCTGTATCTCATCTGAGCTGCCGCAAGCTTTGAAATTTCAATCCATATTAATGTGCGGATGTTGCAGCTCTCACTTATTTCCCTAGGGGGGGAATTTTGTAAGCCTTTCTTATAGTCAAGGCAGGCTTACTGCCAGACTCAGAGAGGAGCAATTAAGATGACAAAATCTGGAAAATTAGAGTATTGAATTTCCAAATCCCCAAGAATGCTTTCACAGGAGAGCCCATGTCCTCACATGCGAGATGCTGTATCTGTGCTCTCAGCATTGTCTGGCTGGGAATCAGATCCGTGCTCACAGTAGGGGCTGATTGATGATGTGCTGCCATATGAACAAGCCTATCTTGCCCCATTAATAGTGTGCTTTGCTCTGCTTCTGTGTAACACCAAGCAGGAGATGGTATCAGCACTGTGGTGTTACTTTGTTCTGTGCAGTGACAGTTTTATTCTCTGAATTTATCTGAAGATGTTTAAACAGAAGATGGAAGACTTTTAGTAAGTAAAAATGATCTTGTATTCTGTGACACCTCCTCTGTCCACAGAGATCAACAACTGTCCCAGTGTTCTGTTATCCATAAGATGCTTTCACTAGGGTTATGTCTCTGAAGACCAATAAACACTTTGATACAAAGCTCATGCCAAATAACCTGCTGACAAAAGTAAAAAAAATTATAGATTTCTGAAACTGCTTCAGATTGAATTAATACATGTGAGGTCTGAGGATCTTGTTTTGTAGATGAATTAGCCAAGCAAAATTCTTTCCAAAGAGAAATTTCTAAGTTTACCTCAAAAGTCAGTTTAGATAAGGAATGAAAATGAGCCATTCTTCTTTATCTGAAACTATAGCTACTATATCTTGATATATGCTGTAGGCCAAAACTTGGAGTAATTTATCCTCTGCACATCCAGTGCCTTGAGAAGTACTAATGGGACAGGAAGGTAATACCTGAACTCATAAATATTCCAAATACAAAGCCAGACTGTCTAGCTCAGACGTGTCCAGACATAGAGTCCCATTGGCTTCCTCTCCAGTAAGGGCTCTGCCTGACCTCTGAGGGAGATTTTTCTTCCACGTTACAGAAATAAAACGACAACAGATAGAAGAGATGCCTCACACAGATGCAGGCTATACCAAGACACTGCCTTCTTGTGCATTTTCTCAAATCGGTAGGAATTGTACTGGGAGAGAAATAAGAATCCTTTAGTGGTCATTGTTTTTCCATTATACTTAAAGAAACAAATCCGCAAAACGAAGAGTCTGTCTAAACTAATGAGAAGATGTCCACTAACTGGCCTGTGCCTTGGTCTAACCTGCAGTCTGATTAGTCAGGCTGATGTTTATTTTTTGTTGTCTGAGAGGGATGTGAACAACTGGTCTGTGAGATAAACAGTTTTGGAGCCTATCTTCCTTCCTCGCTAAAACACGTTATCTTAGAAGCCTGCCTAGTTAAAATGTATTAAAACACCCCTAAATATATTTTTTCAGGGCATAAAACAGACTCCTTTGTTGGACTTATGGGCAAAAGATCTTTAAATTCTGGTATGTATATGACTAAATCTGATACTTGGTGATATACAGCCTCTTCATTCCGTTGCCTCTTTGTTCTCTCCCAGCGGATGGAAGAAGCAGTGTTTATGTAGTGTAGACTCAGAGTTCTCTGAAAAAGACCCAGGATTTTCTTTGTTACCCAAGATATTTCAGGGTTTGCTTTACTCCAGTTCTTGAGCTAGTCAGGCTGGTCTGAGCTGCAGGAGAGCTCAGGTAAAAGTCTCCAGGACACTTTCATTACTGCCCTGTCCTTGCATGTTCTGCTGGTCCCCAAAGAAAAAAAATCTAAATTTTACGGACATGCCAAGAAAAATTCAGAGTCTGAAAATGTAAAGTTCATTTACATTTGTGGTCCAAATCCAGACCTCATCGGGTAAAGGAATATCCTCATTGTCTCTGGAGATCATTATTCCTAAAACCTGGAGCAGAAGGTGGAAGAACAGCATCTCATTCTGCAGATCAAGCTGTTAAACATTCCCAGCCTCTTCCAGCTTTTCACTTCACCCAAAGCATTTTAAGCTTTGAGCGGATACTGAGAATTTGTATTATTTTCCATAGCATCCGTATGGGGCAGGATTCTCCTCTCCTCTAATGTGCAGAACCCCTGTGGGTATCTGCAAATTGCCTGTAGCTCTACCTTCCCTGTGCTATAGGGTTGTACTGAGGAAATCCCTCAGTGTGAACTAAAGTATCAGTTGATTCTCCAGAATGGGAATTAAAAAAATAAAACCCCTAATATATATTTCACATCTCTGAAATAGTTCCCACTGTTTTGTTAAATGGATGATAAAAGTTAAATTACTAGCTGACACCTTTATATTATGTGGATACATGCTGTGATCTACATTCTGCAATTATGGTTGTCAGTAACTTTTATTTTCAATTAAACCCCGTTTAAAACTAGCAATATTGCTCTCTGCATCATTTTACAAATTGCTATGTATCATGAATAATTTTATACAATTTTATCTGTGGTGGCAATAGCTGTTAAATGCACGATACCTGTAAATATATCTGCTATCACAAAAGTAAATAGCCTGGAAGTAATAAAGTGGGTTTGGTTTCCACTGGGATTACATTTACATTAATATGAGAATATAAAGTACAGCAAATGTTTTAAAAAATGTAAAGATTTTGTTGCCCTAATTTCAAATTGCTAGTAGTCAGGCTACTATTATGTGGTATTTCTAACAAAGGCGAATAATGAAGTTTTACCCTGTTGGGCTATGTAATACCTGCCTGACAGGTTAAACTAGAATTCACTGCTTTTCTGCCTGATTCATTGGGAGGGAAATGGTAAGAAGTTGCTTCCCCTAAGGACTGTGTAATCAGAGCAAGATCAGGAATAGTAAGCGTTAGGACTATCCTTATTTTTCCCTACTGGAAAATGTTTAACTGGGCAGGATCTTTACCTGGTGCTATGGTTTTCTTCTGCAGAAAGCCCCTGAGAACTCTGGCAATGTGCAGGAGTTTACGCTGTCTTGCTGGGTGTGAGTGGGGTGCTGATTTAAAGTCTTGTGTGACAAAGCAGGGTACTGGATGCTGATGTCTCAGTCCCTGTTTTGGGGACAGGCCTGACCAAGAGGGGCTCTCTGGGGTTCACTCTCATTTTAAAAGAGCAAGAAGGAGAGATCTACCACTACTAAACACAAAATACGTTACTGAAGACTATTTTAGGCTGCAGCTAGTCCACAGGAAGTCTGAGTCAATCTGAGGAGCTTGGTTTCTGCCATAGTCTTTAGTAAAAGTTAACCCTGTGTGCAGGGCTTGGGGACAGGGAGGGTTTAAACCTGACGAAGAGCTGACTGTGCAGGAACAAAGGTGGACATGTCCATGCAGAAAGCCTCTACCCACAAATTGACCTGAATGCTAAGATCCCATAAATTAGATGGATTACTGGGAGGTAAATGGGCTCTGAATTAATGGTACTTCAAGCAGCTCAACAGACGATAGGTAGAAAACACTGCTCAGACCTTCAGCCTCCAGGAGTCTGAGAGGTTAAACCAAATCAAAGCAGCTCAGGGTTGGGCAGGGAGGCCTCGCCTCTCTTCCAAATATGCCACTGAGGTCCAGCAGTGACCCAGCTGGCTGCAGGTCTCTGACATTTCTTGTGCTTGCAGGGGTTTATGCAAGGCTGCACTGTGTGCTTCATTCTGCTTCATTTTTTGCAGGGTCCTCTGAAGGGAGCATAGCACAGAATTATGAACGGAGGCGTAAATGAGACATTCCTGCGCATTATTTACTAAACTTCATTTGTTCTGATGGCCAATGCAGTGTAATATAAACTAACCACTGTATGGAATAATTATTTATTTAACAACTGATGGGGTTTGGGTTTTTTTGAGTTGTACATTCAATAAAATTATTATTTTTCATATTGTGGCAGTGATACATGTTGTGTAGGTGTGTTGTGGTTCTGAAAGGACCAGCAACCCTGGTGATGTCTCACAACAAAGCACATCATTTGATATGACCCATAAAGTTATGTTTACTAAACCAAGCAAATATTCTTTTGTTCGTTGAAAGCGAGTCTATCAGCTTCACAGCCAGTGCAGAACAGAGCTGATGTTCAGTCTAGTGCCTCAATTTGTTTTCATGTTTATAATGTACTGTAATTTCTGTATCAAAAAATATATTTGTATCATTACAGCATGTTTTATGTTCTGTGACTATGTATCTATATATTTTAAAAAGGGGGTGGGTAATGTTTGAATGGGAATCCAAGGTCTTCATTTCATAGTCTGGAATTTTATGACAGTAACATTTTAAATAAAAACTACTCTGGGGCTTTTGCAACATAATTCTTTTGGTGATAGTAATGGAGTTATTTCCCACGTTGCTCTGGAACGAGATTTAGATCCAAGCAAGAGTGGTCTGAGACTGGAAAGAAATATCAAATTAATGGTTTCTTTTTGCAGGGAGGCTGTGAGCTTCCTCATGTGTGTTTGGTGAATGTTTGGAGGATATGCTACTGGAAGACAGGAATTCCTGAGATTGCTCCAGGTCACACAAGGTGCCATCCATCCTTAACCTGATGGAAATCAAGAAGCATGTTGTCTGAATGAAAAGGGCGTGGTGTACCCCCCAGCTCCAAGTGGAATAATTTGCTGTGGAATTCATCCAGTATTGTAGGTTTATTATTTGAAAGCTAAGCTTTTAATAAATTCTAGCCCTCAGATTCACAATAAAAGCCCCTGTTGACTTGAATCCATGCAATATAAGCGAAAAAAAAAGTGAGTGTAATTATCTTTTTAATTAAACTCTCTGGTTACTATATAAGCAGGACAGTCCTGAAATGCTACATACATCTCACCAGATGCCAGGGCATCTGGAGATCTATCTTCTTTCCCCCTGCTAAAAGCTATACTTCTCCATTTGATGCTATGATGTGAGCTTTCATCGCAGATGAATCAGCAATGAAAGCAGGCAGTATATACAAACCAAGTAATAAGTAATACAAAGGGATTCACTGGTTTTTTTTTTCCATTTTGGAAGTGAACTCAACAACCTCCATTTTCAAGGCTACCTAAGGCATCAGCAGAACTGCCCCCATTACAAGCGGGTGGGTGCAGGACTTCTCTCCTGCTAGGTTAGAAGCAGCACCTAAGCCTGCCCATGCTTAAAACAGATCCCACTTTCAGCTAAGCAGGAGGCAATCTAGCTAGGTGGGGGGGTGTATGGTAGGAAAACTGAACAGGGACCACACTCATGTGAGAGTGGTTGTACTGGTACTCTGCCAGTTCTTCATCTTGCCAGCGCTAATTTTCAAACTAATAAACTTCTGTATGTGAGGAGGGGAAGCTAACTGACTAACAACATGGCAGAAGGACTGTGGAAATGGATGTTGAATAATGCTTAGTGAAAAACAAAATTTAAAAAAAAAAGAGAAAAAAATTTAAAATGCTGTTCTTCTACCCTGGGAGCCTACAGTGCTCCCAGAGCTCACAGCCCAAGTGCACTGAATTGTGAGATGCAGAGAGTAAAGCGAAAGCTCCACTGTTCACTCCCTGCAGCTTGCACATCTCACGAACTTCCTCGCAGAGGCAACCACTGCAAACATATTTGCATCCAGAGAAAGCCACAGAGAGTGGGCTTTAAACGTTTGCAGGACAGCACAAGTACTATTTAACAGCATCCAGTAAATAGATAGGACTGACTTTTCTGGAAAAAACATAGATGGTTTGGGTTGGAAGGTACCTTTAAAGATCACCTAGTCCAACCCTCTGCCATTGGCAAGGACATCTTTCATTAGATGAGTTTGCTCAGAGCTCCAACCAAACTGACACTGAACACTTTCAGGGATGAGACAGACACAACTTCTCTGGGCAACCTGTTGCAGAGTCTCACCACCCTCATTGAAAAGATTTCCTTCCTTACAACCAATCTAAATCTACCCTCTTTCAGTTCAAATATCTGATCATCTTCATGGCCCTCTTCTGCACTCATTCCAACAGATCCATGCCCTTCCTGTGCTGGGGACCCCAGAGCTGGACACGGTTCTCCAGGTGGGGTCTCACCAGAGTAGAACAGAGAGACAGAATCACCTCCCTCAATCTGCTGCCCACACTGCTTTTGATGCAGCTCAGGGTGTGGTTGTCTTTCTGGGCTATGAGCTGCATCATGTTGTTTCACATCTACAAACAACCCCAAATCCTTTTCCTCAGGAATGCTCTCAATCCATTCTCTGCCCAGCTTGTATTTGTGCTTGGAATTGCCCTGACCTTGCACTTGGCCTTGTTGAATTTCATGAAGTTCACACAGGCTCATTCCCTGTGCCTGTAAAAATTGTTATTGGTGGCATCCCTTCCCTCAAGCGTGTCATGGCACTACTACCATTGTTCCACTGCCAAGGCTGAGCCTCTGGCACCAAAGCAGTCTCCTTTTACTTGTCATTCTGATCAGTGGTTTTAATCTGGCATTTGGAAACAACTCATTTTAATTTCTGGTGGTAAAATAATGTCAGATTTGTGCTAATTTGGGTTTTGAACAGTAAGGTTAAAATTGGCATTGTTTTATATGTTTGTATAGATATCTATTCCAACTTAGAAATAAAGCAAATACACCAAAAGGCACTGTCTGAAACGTTCCAACTGACTCTACCAACAATACAAAAAAAGCCCTTCATCACATTTCAGTGCTGGCAGGGACTGCTTGGTCAAGCTGTGCCATGTTGGAGCTGTGGGGCTGTGCCTGCCCAGCAGGCCTAGGGCAGATGTGGAGATGCACAAACAACACATCTGCAAGCATCCAGCTCAGCAGCTACCAGTCCCTACCATGGGCTCACTCCGAACATTTGTCCTCACAGGCATCCAGGGATCCTGGAGACTCACACAGGAATTCTTATTCTTATATCTTTTATCTGCCTTTAGTCTTAAGCAATATAGTCTATACATTACTGAGTAATTCAAAGGGACTTCTAAATAATTTCCATGGTCTTTAATCTCCCTTTTAAGGCTTCTTCAGCTTTTAAACACTTTTATGTATTGGACAGCATTGTTTGCAGCCCTGGGCCACTGGGCTACTTATGCTTTCAATTGCTGGGCAGGGCCATCTTTCCAGAGCCATTGCAGGTTTTGGAGAGGCTTTCACTAAATCCCCCGTTGTCTCTACAACAGCCAGCCACGACTGTGACACAGACTTAGCTCTTTCTGATGGCAACAGTCTGACACCCTTCAGGCTGCAAAAGCTAATCAATAACACTGCAGCAAGGGCATCTGTCAGCAAAATGCAAGTGAGCTTTAAATAAAGCAATAAAAATCTTCCTAGGAAATCAGCACGAAGAGTGAACTCAGGGTGATGCTGGTAATGGTCACCACTGGGGAGGTGCTACAGGCAGTTTGATGTAACAGTCCACCTCCAACATACTCAGCCCCCTTTTTGTTTTTTTTTTCCCTCAGAAACACATAATTCGTCTGCATCCTGACAAGTGGCTGCTCTTCTGGTAGGCACTATCTCCCTCACACACAGAAACTTCACTTCCCTTGGATGGGGATGCCAAAGTCAAGATCTCGGCAGCCTGCCTTGCCCAAGCATGACCCAGAGGACATAATCTCCATCCAGCATCTCCATCTCTCTGCTGTTGCATGGAGACTGGCCATCCCTGGTGCAGGCTGCAGCCAAACTTACCCTGGGAAGCCAGAGCCATGGCACACATACCCGGTCCATGAACTGGGGAGCTGAGAGGGGGGTTTGGTTCCACCGTATGCATCTCACCAGGGGAGCTCAGGTTCTGCAGCACTTGCAAATCCTTCGCTGTACTCACATCAGGAAGCTGGAGATTTTCATCATTATCTTAACCAAAAGAAAAGGAAGAATCTGGAAATGTTTAGGCACAGAGATCTGGCAGGAATCCAGCCCCCCTCTAGCGAGCAGAACAACATCAAGAGGTTTTTGTAAATCATTAAAGTGATTCTTTAAAATGCTGTTTATTCAGAGTATGTCAGTAGCAGCTCCTTCAGAGCTACCAAGAGCCATTATTTAAATACAGACTTTGTCCCTTAAACTATGTCTCTTAAACTATGGCTTAGATAGTGGCTTTAGCATTAAGAGATATCGAGCAAGTCCCAGTGCAAACTTTGGTAATGACGAAATTTTCTTCTGATGAGCCCAAACAGTTCCCTTAGCCAGCATATCACAGACTGCATTAGCAAACATCTCCCAGGGTGACAGGACAAAAGCACACAGCAGCTGCTTCCCTGGAGTTGTACTGTGTCAGGATGCAGCCACCTGCTGTTCCAGATACACTCGAATGTCCTCATATATCTCCAAAATAACTCACTCACCTTTGCAGAAAATAGTCTTTACTGGAAGAGTAGGGATTTTTTAAATTTGTTTTCACTGCTAGCAAGTGTACAAATATCTGCAAACAACATCTTTCAGGAAAGACCAACACACTCTTTGCATTATTCTTTTAATGGTACTGACAGAGCATAGACTAAAACATTTGTCAACGGGAGAAGCTGTATGAAATTCATTATGATATTAATTCAAAATTATCACTGCTCCACCTCTGATAGATATCTGGTTTCCACCAGAATAAAAGAGCAACTCATCAGCTCAGAAACTCCTTTTTAAAGAGAGGTATGCAGAGCGTGTGCAACAAACCACCTCTTCTTTTCTCATCCATCTCCAAATTAAACAAGGTCACCACTTACTGCATATAGAAGAAATGAAATGTGAACAGACTGTTAAACAACAAAACACTTCATCTGTCATGGTGCTTCATGCTCTCCCAGAAGCCTGGAGGGAGGTCAAGGTGAGATGGCTTGGCAAGAGGTAACTACAGCGGTTGAGCTAGAAATGCAATGCACACCCTGTACCTAACCAGTCACTTCTGCAAGGTGCTACCTAAGTGCAAAGAAATTTAGGAAATTACAAAAGAGAACACTGAATGTTTACAAAAACTCCTGCAAATTAAAAAAAAAAAAAAAGCCTTTCTTTTCCTATCTAAACCATTTCTCACACTTATTTCAGAAGCGTAGCTGTAAGAGATTTAAGAGGTATAAGATGTGCACCAACACATCATAAAAGACCCATAAGATCATCAAGTTCCAATCATATGTTAAGCATTATGTTAACATTAGAGACACCATCTGAAGGCAAGAGAGGGCAGAATTGTGTGGAGCAGGTAAAGAGCTGCATAAATTCATGCTATATATTCTCAACTAGAGCTTGAGTGCCTCAGTGCCAATATATGCTGATATAATTTTAACATTGTTTTCTACATGAACTAGTTTGCATTGAAAACATCTAGCTGGGTAACAGAAGAAACCTTTAATCACAGACATTCAATTTTGGCACA